GGCGGTGTACTCCAGGAGTACTTGAATAGAATCTATGGATACTTTGCAGATTGCACTGGCACATTGGCGGAGCAGCAGCAGCTTGCCTGCAATGAAGTGAGCATGCGTACATTCATTACTTTTATGAGCAACCAGCTTCCGTTTCAGGGCTGCAGCTGGACTGCAAAACAGCACTGCCGGCAGCTGAGACAATTGCAGGGACATGTCACTCATGTTTTCTATTTGTTGGAGTCATTCATCTTACAAGCTCTAGGTGGACGAAGCCCGCTCAGCACACAAAGTGTGCAGATCACAGCAGGCTGAGGCGAGGGGGCATCTTGAGAACCCTCAGGCATTCAGGGGGGTCGTTTTGGATTTTTCCGCGTCCGGTGGATTTGTGATGATTCGGCTAGTTATCCTATGTTATCCTCCATTTTCAGCTGGTTCTGTGCCAACTGCAGGCGTATGAGGAGTGGGCCAGCTGCAAGAAACAGACTGCCTTAGAGGCCGTGTGCATCGGCCTTCCAGATTGAGAGATGACACAGACGAGCTTTGCTTAGGCGGCCGATTGTTCTGGCTGGCCTGCATTGAAGGCACGTGACAACGTGCGCGCCGTGTGGCAGTGGGTTGCGTGGCGGTTGCATGGCGCCTGTGGCGCTGGTGGTCTTGCCAGGCAACCAAAGTCCTGGATGCTGGCGCTGCATGCTTGCAAACCACTCCAGGGGACAGATGGGGATGACGTTAGGTTTGGGCTGAAGTGCAGCTGGGTGGATTCAAAGACTCCAGTGTTGGACTGCAATGCGGCCAGTTTATGAAGTGCATGAGTCATCAGAGAGGAACTGTATAGAACGTACCTAAAACATTTCATTGCAGAGCAGAGCCCATCAGGAGACTTATGAGCAGTTTTTGAACCGGATCAAGCCCAATTCCCAGCAGAGAGCAGGGTCAAAGTGCGAAGGCATGGGTTTTGAGGGCCCGCAGCGATGCACAGAAGCATTGGAAATGACCCAGGCTGTACTGGACGCAGGAACTGTCCAAGTACGAGGCTATGAAGGTTGGAAGCAAGAAGTGGTCCTATAAGCTACACTCAAGACTTCCACTCAAGCATCAACCATAGCCGAGAGATCCCATTTCAAGCGCCCTGGGAATGACAGCCGCGAGTGCAACGCAGGCCCTGTGCTCGAATTCAGCGGAGGACGACCGAAGCTCGTTGGTCATTCGCCGAAGCTTGTTCAGCTCCTCCGCTCGCTGTGACGGAGGACCCATGTGCGCCCGAGAAGGCCCAGTCAAAACCAGAATTGGAGTCAGAATTGGATCATGTCCAACAAGAATTCAACAAATGGGCGTGTGGCATTCCACAACAGGCCTTCAAGCCTTTATGTATATAACTATATACTGTACATATGAATAAGGAATCTTTGTTGACTTTGTTGTCAGGCATTGTATAGTGTTAAAGAGTTCTGTGGCAGTGGTGTCGGACTGCTGCCATTCGTTCATGCAGTCGTATATAGATGTTAGATTTGTATAGTAGGGCTAGAGATGCTCTTGTTTTGTCCAGGCTAAGCTGGATCGAAAAACTGCAGAATGCACTGTTGCCCAAAACAACTTCGAACGATCCTTCTGCGACCAAGCGAAGCAGGCCAGGCCAGTGAAATCACACCAACCGTATGAACTGCTGAGACAGTTGTTGTGCCATGACACAGTCTTGCCAAAATGAAGAATCGCCAGGGAAATAGAGCGTGGCATAACTACCAGGAGTGCTATCGTATTGCCGTGGCTGGCCTGTTTAGCATGACGGTGGACCACATGCATCGGCACAATGTGAGAAATCTGCCATGAAGGAATAGATGGTATTTCCACAACAGAAGACGAGGGATTGCTGTGGACATGCTTGGTCATTGCCAGGCCAATGAAACATACACGCAAGCTTCTACAGCTTCAATCAAGCTCTTGTCTTCGAAGATTTAAGCTCAGCGCTGGCTGGTGGAGCAGGGTGTTCAGATGTACCTACCTGACTGCCCCACATGCCTGTCCATAGAGACAAGCTTGTGGTGATGTAGTAGATCTGGACCTCATTTCACAACATCAGTTGGTCGTGTCTCAGGGTGTGTTGTTTCAGCACACTGAACTCTTAGACTGTGATTTGAAGTTTTGCAAATCGGCATGACCGCATGGCATTGATTGGATTCAATGGTTTGGCTGCTACTTGTAGGCTGCTAGGCGCATACTAGCTTTCACGAGACCTGGCCAAACACGCCTGAGGAGACTTGACCTTGGGGCATCTCATCGCATCGAGTGCCTCCTAAAGGCACGGAGTAGCACGGAGCGAAGTCGCATGGCGTGACGAAGTCAAAACGCAGACCTTGCGGTCTGTGTTGTTTTATCTCCAAGTCTGAGCACCATGGAGCTTGTGGAGTGGCAGGTCTTTCAGAATTCCCACAACGCACAGACAGCCTTGGAAGAATGCAAGGCCATGGACCACAGCCTTGATCTCAGAACCAGGAACGAGAAGAAACGTGGAACACGGCAGATCAGGATGACGAACATCATGAAGAAGGAAGAAGAACAAGAAGAAGAGAAGATGTTGTTGATGATGATGTCTAGTTGCTGTAGTGGGTGGTGTAGCAGGAAGGATGCCGTTCTTCTTAGCTGTTAGAACCTAGAGCTAATAATTTGCCGCAGTAGTGGAGGCATCTCGCTGAAAAGCAAGGTAGCACCTTAGTCCCTTGCAGGTGATGTGATGGCTAGGCTGCGGCTCGCGATCAAAGAGGTGCCTGCACCGCTCTAAACTGACTGTCATGGCTTCGCGTGGCTTCATACTTTTCCAATCTTTTCCAGGCTCCACCTCCAATGCTGCCGTGATGAGCTTATTTGTGCATGCTCGTCAGCTGTCGGCGGCTTCGCCATGCTTCGCGTCATCCGTTCCACTCTGAAGGCCTTTGCCATCAAGCCTTCCCGGGCAAAGTGGTTTCCAGGAGGACAGTTTTCGGAGCAAAGTGCGGCCAAGCTCCGTTAAGCGCACGAAAGCAGTAAACTGTCTTTTGATTATGCAAGTGGGCGTGTTGGAACCCATCAGGCGCGGCATGTCTTCTGAGATCTCAGAGTTTTGTAATTCCGTTCAGCCTGCCGCTGGTATACACACGAAGATAGGTTGAAACTCAGCTTCAGGAAGAATACAACAACATCAATTCAACTGAGATGATGGCCTGCCAGTTGCCTTTCGCGGTTCTCGTGCGGTGACCACGCGCACTTTAGCATGTGAGCATGATGTATTTCTTTGCTTACAAAGCGATCCACATGACTCAGGTTTTCTTGTGAGGCATGATTGCGAAGAGTTTATTTACACGTGCCACTGTCAGTCACCGCCGCTCAGTGGCAGAGACAAGGCATTCTCGGCAAAAGCCAAGGGCGCGATTTCCCAGTGGAGTGCATCGTCAACCTTTCGAGTGACTTACAGTCGATGACGGATCAGAGGTGGTGGCATTGATGGTGCCAATTGATCAAGATTCTTGTAGCTTCCCCTATCAGCCTCATGAACCAATGAGCAACAATGCGCCACTTCTGGGGGTACTGTGTATGTAGATCACGCACCTTTGAAGCTATATAAATAGCTCACCTGAGCAGTTGAAGGCATCCTCCCTTGTTGCTCATTTTTGCTTGTTCACTGCACCTGCAACCCCTGCCAGGTTGCACAAGGTCGCTGGAGTTGGACTTGAAGGGATCACTTGTGCATAAAAAGCGGCGAAGCGAAGCGGTCATAGATGCGGAGGAGGGTAATTCCATCCGCAGATGGCCAGATCTCCTGTTTGGAGGTTCAGCCTTAACTTAGCAGATCAGCACACCGTGCTGCATGGTGATCCAAGGCCAAAGTTGTTTTGGGCAAAGCTTGCCAGTGACCGCTAGTGGGAAATGACATGTTGTTTTTGCATGCTCATGACTATGGCTGCAGGACTGTCAAGTGGCCGATGCAAGCTCCATCACCATCGTCGCAAATATAGTTAATCTATGAACTTGGCCGGTCAACCGTTTAAATCTGTTCTTGTTTTGGGTGTGCATTCCTGAAACTCAATTGTTTCGTTGCTGCCCCGGAAGCATCACAATTATCATGACACCGATTGAGATCTTTAGGGCTGATTTCAATTCAAGGCCTTTGACCGCCAAGTCTTTTTATTCTTTCCACTCTGCCCCGTGAAGCGGGGCTGCCGTAGCTGGAGCCCTGTAAGCAGCTTGACACCAACCAGACGAACCCATTAGGTATTGGTTAGGGAGGCTGTGGAACTCCAAGTGCTGGGTCAACAAGTGCCATCAAGTGCATGCATTGGCGAACGCACCCTGTATACCATTCTGTGAGATGAGGTGCACCCAGAAGATTCCTGAAGTTGGCTGCAATCCTAGTCAGATAAGGTCCTTGTCGGTAGTCAGAGCATGGAGTCGTGGGTCAGCTGCATCCTGGATTCTGAGCACCGCGCAGTCTAAAGCACAGTGCAGGCGGTGATCCTGGTGAGATCAGGTGCTCCAAAGAGCTGGTGACGTAGACAGCTCCAGTGCCGTGCATTGGAGACCGGACTGTCCAAGGAAACTCCAACCTTTGGGCTTCTGCCATGTGGCTCCCATCACTTCTTGTAATATGCAATTATTTTTAAACGATTTATGGATGCTTGTTGACACGTGACTTGTTTCAATAGCTTCAGCAGAATGATTTCAATCCAGACGTGCTCAAATGGATTGGAGATCTCTTAGAACCTTCACTGCGAAAGACCGGCTAAAAATGGACTGCAACCAAACCCGCCACTTGGGCTGCAAAGCCAACTGCTGCGCAGGGGAATGGCAAGTCGGCGGAAGTAGTCTTTGGCAATAAGATTCAATACGGTGCATTCTTGCTTTGCATATGTTTGATTCTTTGTCCCTGAATGTGTAGTGCAAATAGTTGTGCAACCAAGTTGCAACCATTCGGCTGCGGCCTTTGGTCAGGGTGAATATTGCATCAGGCATGCCACGCGTTGAAGCCATGACCCTTTCAGGAGAAGCAATTGGTAGACAGCGCGCTAAACAAGCACAAGTTGAGTCGCCATCCGGGTGAGGAGGGACAGACTGAGCAAGGGATTTGCGACGATCGTGGATGTTTAGACTGACGGTAGGTCATTTGTGTGAGATTCAATGCTGAAATAAGCCGACGCCACTTGCTCTGTCCTCAGACCATGGTTGTGCTTGTGCTGACGTCTCTGTGAGATGTTTGCTTCATGGCACCCATTGCTTGCTTGTGCAGCTTTTGCATAGGCTCACAGCTCCCGGTGGCACGAGCCAGATCCTGCAATGTCCATTCTTCCACAGGCACTTCGTCCGCCCTTGCCATGGACACCTGCCTCGAGAGGACTTCTTCCTGAGAGGTCCTTCATGAGGCGGCCACAGCCAGCACCGAGGCGCACGCCAACTGCCCGAAGAGTGTGGGAGGATGCGGCATCATTTTGCAGTGACCCGCTTGTGTCCTGCATTGGATGGGCTGCATTTCTGTCTGGAATGACTATCCTGAGAGTTGCCACCGTGGATGATGACCAACACACTCCAAGAGCTTTTCTGAAGAAAAGGAACCAGCTAAAGAAGGCTGGCCCTCCAATTGTGTGCTTGGGTGACAGCATCACACGAGGGAATTTGTCTGCTGACTGGGTAAGCTCTTTAAGAAGGGAGTGGCAAGAGGGCTTGGTCCTGAATGCGGGAGTGAATATGCAATGCTCGCAAAACATTCAAATGCGAGTGGATGAGGTGATTGCTTGCAAACCATCACACGTGACGGTCCTGGTAGGCACCAATGACTTGAAAGCAGCACTCTCACCCGTTGAGGGTTTCATGTACCAGGTCTTTGGAGATTTGCCGGAGGTGCCCTCCCTGGAAACCTATGAGAAAACGCTCGTCGATATCAAGCAGCGCCTTCTTTCAGCAGGGGCCCGGGTCGCCCTCGTCTCGCCACCTGTCTTGGGGGAGGACATCCAGTCGGAAGCCAACAAGCGCGCAGCAGAATTCGCAGCTGTGGTGCGAAAGGTGGCGGAGTCGGAAGGCAACTGCACATACTTACCACTCTTTGAGATGACCTATGAAGCCTGTGAAGCCTTGCCAAGTGGACGGCCATATTCCGGACTGAACTTCTTTGCTTGGTGTTGCCTGCTTTGCTTCGACATGCACGTTTTACAGCGTGACCTAGCCGATATCCAGAAGGAACGCCAATTGGGAGTCACCGTCGATTTGGTGCACCTTGGGCCCAAAGCGGCCAAGGAACTGGCAGACATGGTTCATGACTTTGTTCGATCCTCACCTACCTGGGCCAATTCCCGCTTTGGTCAGCCCGGATTTGACATGATTGAAGCATGCTGAGGTCGAGGTGACCAGCCCTAGTGAGCATAGCGTTCAATTGCATTGCTGTGCTTTCCCCTGTCCCAATACATAGCCAAAACAGAAAAAGGTGATCATGAGATATGTATGTATATGACGACATGAAATATGTGCAGCATGGAAGGTGTCCTCTCAAATGGCAGCGACTAATCAGAGATGTATGAATGATTTCATATTGAAGTTGAACAACTGGCAAAGATGTTGGGACAAATGTAGCAGCTAGTCAGCTTGATATTTTCCTACTTGAGCAGGACTGGTGCTGGCGTCGTGATTATGTCACACAGTCTGACAGGATCAAGACCTCTTGAGGTTTTGATAGGATAGCCTTATGTTAAACCTGTTACTTATGCCACTCGCACGCACCAGCTCCGGCTCCTGCTCGAGGATGCTGACTGCCTCAGTCATGCAGAATGCAGATTGATGGGGCTGCAAGATTTTCTGTCCTCTAGCCTCGGATGACTCATCTACTTAAATATAACATCACCATCACCGATCACCCACGACAAAGGAAGGACATTGTGATGCATGAGTTTATCGTATTTTGAGGCTGTGAGTGAGGTGTTTCAAAAGGAGATTCGCATCTTCATGCCTCTTTTGGCGTCTCTTCAATGTATTTGAAGTTCTTTGTCTTGCACTCTTAGTGCCTGTTTATCTACAAGCGCGTCGCTGCGCGCACATTTTCGCAGCACTTTGCTGACCACTGGCCACAGAGCATCCTGTAAGATCCTATCAAGGATGGAGTGCCATGCAACATTGCTTGATTGGGAGCTCCTGGCCTAAAATTCAGCAGATGCTGCGCAGAAGCATACCCTGATGCCATTGCAAACATGAACTAAAAAAGCTTGATTCACGATTCACACATTGCCCATTTATAGTCTTGCTGGGAGTTCTGAGGTTGAGCCCTCATAGTCAAGATCAGTCAAACATCCCTCACCTGTTTGTAATCAAGCATTCTTTGAGGTCCTGCTTGCTGCCAGACCAGTGGGTGAATGATGAGGTGGCTGGATTGCTCGATTTTGCACCCGAACACTACGAAAGTGACACAAATGAACAATATAATAGCAATTGCTTTGACCAGATTGTTTTGCATGTGACGCCACCGCAGTATTTTGAATTGGGGGGAAGGGTGGCGTTAGATGAACGCGCCTTGCACGCGCCTTGAACGCCCAGCTTGGAGACACCTCTAAGGCGGCTTTGTTTCATGGGCGCGTGACAGCCTTTAGTGTCATTGTCAAACATCCCTATCCCTTCGCTTTGATATCTCGGGCCGAGCCAAACATGTGGGCAATCGATAAGAAGCATGACCCAGTGAGCAGGTGTAGTGTAAGAGAGAGAGGGAGAGTCAGTCCTTCAATGTCCTTCACGTTGTGTGCTCGCTGATGGACGAGGTTCAAGGGCTAACGCCAGGGGTCCAACATGGACGCATTTAGCCAAGTGCCCTTGCCATCCGGCCCCAAGCCATCGTATAGCCGCAACTCCACCAGACCAACAAGTGCAGGCACTGCAAGAAGTGAGTCTCCACGCTCTCGGAACCAACGGCCTCTAAGTGCCAGATCTGCTGGCAGCGCGTGGGAAGCACGTGCCTCTGCAAGCCCCTCACCGGATTTCACAGATAGTTGGTCGGAATTGCCCAGCAGACCTGGAAGCCGACCCGGAAGTCGACCAACCAGTGCCACAACCGGGGGTATTTCCGGGGCGGTCACGAGGAGACCCTCTGCCGATGGACCGGGCGCCGTGCCCAATGACGCTTCCAGAGCACCTGAGGTTCATTCATTGGAGCAGCACATCATGGCTTCTCCAGACTTCGGGCGAAGGTCACTGGAAGAGGAGTTGAGGGAGCCGATCCTCACACCAATCCCCAATTCATTGGGAACCCCTTTGGAAAAGCAGGTTGCAACTGCCATTGGTCTGAGGGGAAAGGGTCGAAATGTTTTGAGACTTCCTCGCAGTGTGGTAAGCTGCAAGCACGGGTGCGACTGTTGCTGGCGCTGGCTCGCGCGTGCCGCTTTGGAGCAGATCTGGGGTGGCAGCTTAGCAAGCTTGAGCTTGGCGGACAGCGTCTTGAAGATCAAAGAGGAGAAGAAACAAAAAGGGGTGGCAAGACAGGATCATTAGAAGGTTAAAGTGTGGCACGTAGGAAGTCCACATGAACTTCATTGAACTTCATTGAACTTCTATTCTATCAGCCACTGAGCCTGTCATGCCGTGTTGCGTCATGTCCAACATGCATGTGCATTGCTGATTCTAGTGTGGCAGTCCAAGGAACATCATGGATCATCCATAGGAGAGCATGATCCCAAGATGCGACATGAAACCGTTGGTCCACCGGTCCACCCGTTCTAGGAGTTTGCCCAGATGCAAGACGCCCGCAGAGCTTTTGAGACGGAACAGTTTCGAGCCAAGGTTGGGTCGTGTAAGTTCTCCCAAAGAATCATCCGCCGATCATGTTTTCCGGAGGCCGCCGAAGAAGAAGTCGCGACACTGCAACACGAGCTCAAGAAGAACAAGGTGGACGGAAGAGAGTTCAGGCCCGGTTCCAGGCACTAAGTCACTAGGTCCATTGGGGATTCAACCGGGATGAACCGGGTAGAATGGGTCACCACTTGCGAAGCCAGGCAATTGAGCAGCGTTCCAAACCTCTATGAAAGAGCCACATGATCCATCCGATTGAACTGCCAGACTGTCACTGTCGTGTAAGCATGTGTAAGTCTGCATGGCGTACGGGTTGCGTAAGGTTTGGTGGAAGCACAGGTTAGGACACTCGATGCGTAAGACTCAAGAGGTCGGAATGTAAGATTATGCCAGAACTTTTGAGTCAGTTTAGTCAAACTGCTACTGTACTTGGTTTTTGTGGCTGAGACTGAGAAACACTACTAAGCAGAAAAGGGTTGGGGATTGAATCTCTCAAACGCACTCCCTGCACAAGTTCGCAAAGGCCATGTCCGCAGGGGTTGGGTGGCAAAAGACCACACGAATTCCGCGTCAGCCCCGCGTAAGCGGATTCGTAAAGTTTGCGTAGGCAAACTTCTCAGATGACCCAAAAGCTCTTGCTAAAGAAACCAAAGCAAGCAGCTGCATGGGAAAGGCACTTTTCAAGCACATAGCGCAGTTTCACCCTGGCTCCGCCTGCTTAATCCCCGTGGCTGACAAAAAGAAGCAATATGAAGCAATGGTCTTTACTAAGTGAATCATATAAGAGCAAACTGTCAAAGTCAAAGTGTGCTTTAACTGGTCTGGACTGTCAAAACCATGAATCGTTTCAACGCGCAAGAACGCGTAAGCCCTAAGACAAAGAGAAAATCACTCGCCGCATAAGCGAACACATTGGTAGTGTAAGCAGTGCGGAAGCCGACGCGTAAGCAAACAAGGATTACAAGGCCAAGACCAAAGGTTTTTGACCATCGCTCAATTGCCCTATTGATGGTCAATTAATTGTGGGACTATGGTGTTGCGTGCTCCAGGTAGCTCAGTGTGTTCATGCTGTTTTGATTGGAGGAAGTTGGAGCAGTGCGCCAGGATTCTTGAACGAGAGCATGGCCGTCTTCAGAATGAAGTCGCCGACCTGCGAGCAGCTCGAGGTCAGATTCGCAGCGTGTTGGTTGGGATGGTTGAACAGATTTGAATGCCCCAACGGATTAGAATTGGCTCAATGTGGAGGGCATTTTGCTGTGGCAGGAAAGCTGGAGGCCGAGCTGGAAGTGCAAAAAAGACGTTCCGTTGAGCAAATGGAGGTAGCTCGAAGAAAGGCCTGGCATGAGATGAACGATGTCCACAAGTTGGAGGAAAGAGCTAAAACTTGCCGTTATATATGCTGTGATATAATGTATTATACATTATTATACATGTATATATATATATATGTATTTGTTTGTTTATATGCAAATGTAATATACAATTTAATAACATGTTTTTCTACCTTGAACTTCTGTATACGCGTGTTTGATGGTCCCCAATCTCACTACAAGAGTATGCCAAAAGATGAAGATTCAATTCAATAGTCACTAGTCACTAGTCGTTTGCACAAAAATTCTCACAGTTTGGCACATTTGTTGAAAGTTTGCATTCCGCACTTTGCTGCATCCCCGTTGTGCCCAGCGGTCAGGCAGAAGGTGAGGTGGAAGCTCTCCAAGCTCGTGCCCAAAAAGCCGAAATCAGCACCATCCGATTGGAGGTCGTGGTATGTTATTTTGTGAAGAGTTCTGGAAGATGATAAGGATGAGAAGGGTTCAATTTTGTTGCAGACCCGTTTGGCATCATTTGGGCGGTTCCACATCAGGCGACTGAACATGAACTTCGCGAGAGGATTGCTGACCTCCAAGACCAATTGAGGACGTCATGAGCCGGGTAGGAGCAATTTTGTGTCTCATTCAACGGCAAAGAAAGAGCGCATTGCCACAGTCAACAGCCTCGCATGTCCTTTAATGTCCTTCATAATTATTTTGATCTTGAGCTTGTCACCAGGTTGAGAGTATAGAAACATCAAGCGCACATTTGACGCAATTGAACTGCACTCGCATAGGCCAACAGGCTGAGTTTCATGTCCTTGTTGCCTGAGGGAAGAAAAGTTACAAAGGCAAGAGGATGCCAAAAAGTTGAAGGTCACGCAGCGAGGTGGAAAGAAGACGGGCACCATGGCAGCACGATCAAGCGTCACAACATACCATGCCTGGATACAACAATACTGCAGATCAAGTTTCAATCCACACCAAACTGCTGCAATGGCTGAATGTATCTGAATGTACTCCCTCGATAGGCTTGGCCGAGGGAAAGGAAAGTAAGGGCCGATTTCTTCGGGCAAGCCTGGCCTCGCGTGTCACCTTTAAGGCGGCAAGGCAAGAGCAAAGAAAGCCGGGCGATCGCGCTCCAAGTCTCGCAGCAAAAGCAAGACCAGAGGCCGAAAAGCCTCGAAATGACGCTTTCAGCAGGTGTGTAAGAATGTAGCTGATGCCAAAGAACGCATCCCATACCCGAAGAGTGTCCAAAGGACATTTGAATCGGGAGTCTTGAACCTGCTTGATGTGCTTGCATGACTTTCTGTGATTCTTGTATGCTTGTCGAAAATTGCACAGAGGGTGGGCAATCTGCAAACCACACATCAAAAACATTCCAACACAATACCAATTAAGCATCCACATAGCAGGTGCAGGGACACTTTGTCCATGTCTCATGGTAGTCGCCAAGAGGTTTCGGAAGCTTGCACGTGGCAGCAAAATCAGGCCCATGTGCTGGTGGCTTAAAACGAAACGTGCATCACAAGTGGGCTGCTCTTCCACACCCAGGACAAGGCAGAAGCGCCGGACAATTCAGTTTATATATGTCCATTTCTCACCATTGGATACCATTGGGATTTCTTGAAGTGTTGGCAGGCCACCCACCCAATCAATAAAGCCCTCGCATGCCACTTGTGATGTATGTTTTGCTTGAATTTCTGTAGTTTCCAGGGACCACGGCCCTTTTGTAGCGGTCTCTTTGCTGGGCACCCGCCTTGAAACGTTCCCGAAACAGGAGTGGGACAACCCTGGCGATGTTTTCCAGCAGAAGCTCCTCTGAAATCCTACCGGGAAGGAAGCATGAAAAAGCGTCGAGCCGGCGCGCACTTTTGATGCGTGTGCACAAGCAAGCTTTGAGGCAAGGCAGGATACTGTAAGTAACTACTGTTACAATGAGATAAGTGGGAAAAGTTGCATGGCTCTGGCGTGCAATAGTGACCGTTTGACGACGCATTTGTTGTTGGCGAAGGCGACATGTGAAGACAAGATGATGTGGATCAATCAAGTCACGGACCACAGGACAGCGGGTGTAGTCTGGGTTTGTCCAGAAATACAGGGATCTCTGAATCTCTCAACCGTTCTCAACCACTGGGTGTTCATTTACGATCATTTCCTTTTGCCTTGATCGTCCAAGTTTGAGACTCTTTCATGGCTGCCAGCCATGGCAGGAACAAGCTGCCGTGACCACTTTCGCGCACGGAATCGTTGAGTGGATCCAAAGCGTCACAACAACTAGCAACCACACGTGAGGCTAAAACGACTGGTGCTTGTTGCACAGTTGAGAAGACCTGGCGGTGGGCGCCCACCTGCAGAAGTGCAGTGAATACATAGCCTTGATCTAAAACAGCCGCAAAAAGGTGCCTTGGCAGTCTGGTTCAGTCTTGAAATATGAGGAAGTACGGTACGTTCCTTTGATAGTCACATGGCTGGGGGATGACACGTGAACATTATTGCTCAAACTGTGTGGCAATGTCTATTGTGTGCAGATCATGAACTGCTACCTGCGATTGCTGCAGGACCTCCCAATAAGTGTTTGACACACTTTCTTGACTGACTTGACATTGGCATGTGCTGCTTTTGCATGCTTTTGCAAATCGTGCATTTTCACAGGTTGGTGTGGAGTGCTTGTGTCCCCCCCGATGTAGGGCGGGTGATAGTAAGAACTCTACTTACACACTGGAGTTCATCTTGAGTTTGGGACCAGGGGGCCGAGGAGCCATTCCAAGCCATCCGGGCACTTTCCGCAGGAGCAGAGCAAGGGGCAACTTTGGTGTCCCAGCAGCTTCTTCTGGCCGAAATTAGAGGCATGAATCAACAATCCACCGCGTAGGGCGTAGTTCAACCGCCCCGTAGGCAGGTGAGAGCTCACATGCCTTGTATCGTTTACGGGCTTGAGGCAGGAGGGCATGCTGCTGTGCACCGCTGGGCGAGGCGAATGGTTGTATCTTGAACATAGCTGAAAAGCTGTAACAGATTTAAGCGAGTGTTTCAGGGGATCAATCCATCCCAGCATGGATTTTGCAAAGGCGAGCTGCTGTTGATGTGGCTGGTTGCAATGCCATCATTGTTCCGCTGCATTTGGAAGGCCGATGCACGGTTGATGCATGAGACTTCGCTTTGGGACATTTCGACCTACCGGCGACTCGTTTGATGTGGACTCCAGGTTGCCATTGGTCGTGCGGAGTCCTACTGGCCAGCCACTAATCGTGGTGACGCACCACCGATAGCTTGGCTGAGGCTCGGAGTCTTAGAGATGCTGCAGTTGGGCACTCAGGGCGGATATATATATGTCGGCATTGGCATTCGTACTTGGTGAAGCATTGGTGAGGTTGGCCTAGGTCTGCATTTCGGCATTGGCTTACAGAGAGGAGTTTGTGGTGAGGCGTAAAATCCTCTATATGGACTCGTTGGGCTTGCCAGCCCCGCAGCAACTGCAGCCGAGGTGAGAGATGGTGTTGAGATGCGTTTGCATTTGTATCACGTGCTTGTGCGTGTATGTCCACACTGGTTTACGCTCAACTATTTGCCGGACCAGGCTAGATTTCTAGCACCTTTATGGATTGTTTATATAAATATTTTTGTTTCGCGCAGGTGATGTAGGCGCAAAATCCCCCATTGACTTCAACAACCTGTGGTAGTTCAATCGTATTATACTTCATTTAGTTTACATGTTACATATGTTCAAAGTTTAAAGATTGGTGGCCTGTTTGCTTTGGTGGCATGTTCCACGGCATTTGGCGGGCATGTCAGCTTGCCTGTTTTGGTTGGAAGCCTTTCCGAAGTCCCAGGCTCCTGTCAGCGGAGCCCATCTAGAAGAAAGACTTAACAAAATATATCAACATATATATAATTGTTGCAACCGGCCACGGTGCATCCAATGTGCAATTTCATGTGAGAGCAGTGGTTGCTTGCCGGTGTTTTGTCACTGGAGCAGTTTTAGGGCTTGCCTGTGAGATGCAGGCTGATCGAGTATGTTGCAAAGGAAGTGCCATCCCTTTCAGGCAACGCTGACACCGTACATTTCACGGTAAACGTAGAAAGACAGTGACCAACTTGAGAGGCTTCGATTGGCCGCTTTCGATGATCAACAAGACTCCGCAACTGGCTTAATTTTGGAGTGGAACTGACTGCTGTTCCGCGGTTGTTGCATGCCCATACACTGGCAGCTGGCCATTTGACACCTACAACGGCCAGGACGCAGCAGAATACTTCCGACTGTGGCATTTTCGTCCTTGCGTATGCAGAGCGTATAGCTATGGGCCTGCCAGTCCGTCCGAATCTAAGTGTATCAGATTTGGTCGGACGGGTGTCCAAAGGGTCCTTCACCTCCCCAACTCTTGGAATCCACAGGAAGTGTGGATGGCTCACCGAGCGGCATTAACCACAAGGTGCTGAAATGATTTTCTCCCAGAACTTTGACGTAACTTTTCCTTAGACAAGCTGATAAAACCTGCCAGCGCCGATCCATCGCGCTGGCCATCATCGAAGGAAAGCTGCCGAGCTCAGAAGAGAAATCGCTCTCATTGGCTTTGCTGAAGTTGCAGAGTTTTGCATTGTAATTGTTACTAGTAGTAATGCCCTTGTTACTAGTAGCTTCTTGCTACTAGTAGTAAAAGTTCGATGCCACGGCATGGCTGATCTCCTCAAAGCCGGACGCTTGCCACGCAGCAGAGGAAACCTCCTTTGAATTGTCCAGCGGGGATGGCTGGGGAAAGGGAGGGCTGGAAGCTTGTTGGCTGGGACCGCAGAGTAGCGGCGAGATGTGAATTGGCAAACCAGGGACAAGTCCCAACGAACCGGTCTCTCGAAGTCTTCCATCGATATATAACTACTCCAAGATGTATCACGGTCAAATAGCTTACCCAACCACCACCTTCACCTCAGCCCAACACCTCAGTTGAAATCTGTCATGACAGAGCAAAAAAACAGTACTTAGTCTAGACATGTATAGACTCTAGACTCACTAGACCTACAAACATGACCTACAAACATTGCCACCATCTTCGCATGTGCGTAGACGTGTAACTCCAGCATCGCAATGGTTCTCCCCATGGTGCGGACAGCAATCGTGCAGCCCTTGGGCCCTTGCTTGCAAGAAATATCAGCTTGACATCACCTCCCTTTGGAACGAGGTTGCATTCATTTGTTGCGTGCCATGGGCAGATTGTTTGGAGGCTGACTGGCCAGGCACTTGGAGAACTGGAACATGTTGCAGAAAGAGAATCTTCTCAGAACGGAAGGATGCCAAGTTCTATCAATTTACAGGCTTGGAGCAAAACAGAGAGAAGAAGTTGAGCAGTGATTTATATAGTTTGATATATATAGATATATAATATATATACTGCATATATATATACAGACATATATATGTTTTTTTTTTAAAGGCTGTTTGTCATGCGAGATCTGCACACTTTGGTGGGTCCAAGGATCAGCTATTCCGATCAAGCTGACCTGCCCATGTCCAAAAAGTGGCGTGAGGAGATGCAGGTGCAGGTTTTCAAGTGTTGCATTGTGCCCTTTCACACATTTTCCTAAGAAGCCACACTCCCCCTACTGCCCACGACAAGTAGTTCCTCGGTGGATGAAGCTAACAGCTTAGTTGTCTTCAAAGGTTGGTGGACCGGCCTTTTTTTTGACTGTACCCCATCCTTTTACACCTCCTGTTGCTTCAGCTATCACAAGATCGCGCTTGCAGCTCAAACGGCTGGTTGGGGAGGCAAAGCTGGCCAGCATCGATACGGAAAAGCTCACACCAGAGCAGAAGAAGAAGTTTAAGGCCGGGTTTCTTATGGCTTCACTCACGTGCATACTAGTAGTGCATACAGACAGTAGTTCAAAGAACTTGCGTTCCCTCGGGTGGAGGCCTTGGTTGAATTTGTTGCTTTGTTGATGTTCCTCGTCTCCAAACATCACTGAACTCTTCTCAGGCCTTGTGGCGACGGGTAGAAGGAACATCAGGATGACCTCAACCGATTACTGTATATAATGAGTGCAAGTGCGAATCAAAGGCATAGGTTCGAAGGCATAGGTTTGCCTACGGCATGCGATATGTCAGTATGATATCGAATTGTCCTGATCTCCGCTTGAGGAGATTCAGGGGCGCCCTTCTCTGCAGCAACTTTGGTGTGCTAGCTGCATCAGTTCCGGTGTTCAGTGTTCACATGTTGTTCACATAGAATTCCTGGAATAGTTTGTCAAATGATGTGTTTGGCATTGTTCGGCCCTTGTTCATTCAGTCGGCTAGTTAGGTTCCTGTGGGGGCTGTAGCTTTGGCGTTGTATCTATGGCATACAAAGCCTTGGCGGAAGACCCAGACACTGTCACGTCGGAGTTGAAGCAATTAGAAGCTTGTAAGCAGGAAAGTGCGTCTTTAATAAGTCCTCCTTTAAAAAAGGCCCTATATAACTTATAACTATTGCATATGACACATTGCAATGAGACCGCCCAGGTCGACTGGTGGCCCCGTCGCATCGCAAGGGAGCCTCGCCTGCTCGAACCTTCATGATTCCGTCGTTGTGTGGATGCGTTTGTTCGGGCTAAGGATCTCCAACTCGGAAGGCGAGGCGCCTTGTGTTGACATGTTATTTTTGTTTCCTTTCCTATCCTTTTGTGCGTTCCACACCTTCCAACCACTTGAAATGATTCGATTATTGTTGGAAATGGCTGATTGTGGTTGTTCTGCTTCTTCAGGTAAATTGTTTGGGACCCACCCCCGACAACACTCCCATGCCAGGTGCCAATGCAGCGCGGGCGGCAGAGCTTCGTGACTTGCGCATGCGACGGATGCTCAGCATTTGATAGATGACCTGGTTGACGAATCCACTATGCAGTCTTGGACAGGAAGGATAGCGAGGAATGACACGACTTTATGTGCAGTGGTCGTAATAACCTCGAAACTCTCCAACTCATCCTCACTGTGAGATCCAGACACCCTTTGAATCCCATAGTGACATAGTGTCGAGAACGCGAACCGTTCGCGTTGAGGCCGATTTGGCTCGGAGACATCAGCCAGAGCCAATGATTAGACCAAAAAGTGATTATGCACAAAAAAAATATTTTCCATTTGGAGAATTTCTATAAGCTATATATATCTATATACAGTATACATATTTAAATAGAGTAAAGATGCCGATAAATATGCAGAAAGATGTCAAGGCAATCAAGAAAAATTCAAAAGCTGTTGGAGCTGTCTCAAGACTTCACCCGGTGTGCAACCAGGAACTTCAACACTGCGCTCAAGCATAACGCACAAGAATCCTACGCCGTTCATATGAAACGATGTTGTTGAAGGCATAGGTATCAAAAAAAAAGAGCATCAAAAATAAAAATAAAAAACAGGATCAACAAAAAATAAAAAGCGAATCAAAAAAATAATATTCCTTGATAGGCCTCTTCTGCTGCTCTCCTGGCCTTGTGGTCTGCGGGTCCTCTGGTAATGTGGTCCCTTGGTCCTCTGGTCCACTGGTCCTTTGGTCCCCTGGTCCCTTGGTCCTTTAGTCCACTGGTCCCCTAGTCCTCCGGTCTCCTGGTCCTCTGGTCCTGTGGTCCGCTGGTCCCCTGGTATCCTAGTCCTTCTGTCTCCTGGTCCGCTGGTCTTTTGCTCTCCTACGGCGCTCGTCTGTCGATCTCCTGGTCCCCTGCTTGCGCAAATAGAGGCTTGATTGCTTTCTACTAGAGGCAGCTCCCTGGGAAGAAAGTAGGTACCCAACGATAAGGTTGCCGTCCAGTCATTGAGTAGCCCTACTCGAAAAATGGTTCACCAGTGGAAATAGCTCCCTACTAGGAGGGAGCTCCTGGGGAGGTACACTCTCCTGACTCCTCTACTACCCCAACCATCCTCAGTGGGCTAGAATATGTTTTTTTGATTATATACCTTTTTATTTTTTATTGATCCCCGTTGAATATTTTTTGATTCTATTTTTATTTTTATTTTGATCCCTTACCCGTTGTTGAATGAAATAAGGCAGGAAAGCCAGCTGATAGGAGCAATTAAGGGGGTGTGGGGGCAGAAGCTGAAGGCCAAATAACGTGGGCAAGAAAGGGTGTCAAAGAGTGTCAAACAATTTGATTTCTGATCGTTGTGATGTCTACAATGCATAGATGTGATAGCTTGCATCATTAGCATTTTGAGTATAATATGCGCTTGTAGGTAGGTGGATGGACGGACGGACCGACAGACGGAAGGGTGGATGGATGGATGGACGACACCTGGTTTGCAGACCTGGGGGCTCCATGTGTTAGAACAATGCAGTGCTCCAATCCAAAATCAGTCAAAATCAACTTCCGCACGCAGCCCGCACCACTGACTTTGTCTACCGAAGAGAACAACAGATGTGGTTGTCGATCTAAAGGTCCTAGACAGCGTTGTGTATGACGATGACCCGGAACATATGAAAATCTCATTTGGCGAAATGTTTTTCTCGAGTTGGCGAAAGTATTTTCTTTTTTTGGCGAAAGATCTGGCGAACGATTAAATATGTACTTTTGTATGAATGTTTATTTGCTTCCTGAACAGCTGGTGGCAGTGACTCACATGTGGAAGTTAGATCACCTGCTGCTGCTGCGGCTACCACTACCACTACCACTACCACTACCACTACTACTACTACTATTACTACTGCTATTGGGGGGGAGGCTTTGCCACAAAACTCTACCCCGCAAAAGGCGAAAGTTCAGCTCAAGATTGGCGAAAGTTCACCCTGCCACATCTGACCCCCAGCCCATTGTGAGTAAGTTTGAGTGATCGGCTACTACAGTGATTCTTGCGATTTTGATTCTTGCTGACACCCAGGAGAAACAAAAGAGACGTACAGGGTGTCAACAATTAAGTAGAAGACATATGCTGACAACCAGTGAAGTTTCTATTTTGTGTTTGCCAGTAAAGAAGAAGCCGTTGACGTGAACAAAACACAACATACATGGCACACATAAATACAACATACTTCGGCGAAAGATAAAACGCAGGAAGGCGAAAGTTTGGCTAAAGTAATTTTTTTTCGGCGAAAATGACGGATCCCGGATAACGGAATTTAGATCAACTCCCATGTATCTACAAGCACCGCTGAAGGTGTCAGTGGCTGAAGTGTTGCAATAATTTCAGTTGGGAGGCAAACATCGTCGCTGATGAAAATGTCACGGTTTACCACAGACGTGTGCATTTGGGTTGCCCGGGCAGTGGGACATAGTTTGGGGTTTGCGCTAGTGCCAGGAGCCTCATCAAGATTCTGCTGTGTGCGTCACAAAGTTTAATAAGAAAGCAATGAAATAAGAAAGCAATGAAATATGTAATATGAATATATGTAGCAAAGCCAGATGGGGGCAGTTGCAAAACGGGATCATTCTTTTCCGCTCAGCTTCATGGCGGTACTATCACGGTTCAAGCTCAGATAGGCCAGCTTCACGCGGCAGTCAAGGTGGCCAGGGGTGCATGGCAAGAACAACTAGCCCACTGAGCAGCAAGGTGTTTTGACTTGACTCACTTTCACGCAAACCTATTGCTGCAAAGAACCAAGCCGATGGCTCCACTACATAGCTTTTTGATCCATTCCCTGCTTGATTTCTAGTGTGTTTTGCTCACAGACTAACTTCACGACATTCATGCTTGCGCCAGCATGGGAAACACATTCCGCAGCAACAAGACGAGGCTCCTACGCTCATGCGGCTGAAACAACACCTGCATAGAAATATGTGGACGAATCAGGGCATATCATAGCAGTTTTTTTGGGTCTAGCTGGTGGGCAAATCTGCGCAACCTGCTTGCTCAATACTGATG